CTTTCTGTAACTCACTCAAGGAGGCATCTAGGCCTTGGTCAGATGCCATTGGCCGAGGCTCAACAGTGTTCTCCACCTCCCCACTACTCTCGGTAGATGGCGGTGGCAGGCTCTCCACAATGTCCTCGGCCACGTCATCGAGTCGGGCCATGAATGTGTCCGCGAGGTCCACTTGGTTTTCACCACTCGGAAAGCTCCTCGTGACCTCGGGATTTACCACCTTGGCAAGCACAGGGCTGCCCTTACATTTAAGTCCCATAGACCTGGTCACCGCGCACGCAGGGTACACAACATTATCCTCTGCGGCGGGTGGATCCAGGCAAACCTTAGGGGTAGGCAACATAATAGGCAGTCTGGAGTCCCCTACCTTATCCCCTGCTAAATCATTACCAACTATTACATCAACATTAGGGAAAGGTAGGTATGAAGTGACTCCGACTGTACAAACACCCTTGTGGAAATCAGATTCCAGGGTAACCTTATGGAGGGGTACTGCCCGAGTATCACTAGTGACACCCTCGACCAGTACCACCTCTCCAGTGTCGAGAGTGTTGGCACCTTGCAACGCACTCTCTAAAATTAAAGTCTGGATGGCACCGGTGTCTCGGAAGATCACCACGTCCTTCCAGGAAGAACCCTCAGACAAAAGTAGTCTCCCTTTCGATAAGAATGGGGTAAGCAAGTCCAACCACTGTGGGTTGGAGGTCTTACTCCCTAACCCTTCTGAAAGCCTCAAGCCCTGTGTCACAACTAGAGCATTGGGTCTTTTTTCAGGGTGCAGTTGCCAACAACGGCTAATAGTGTGGTTTGGACGATTACAGTGACCACAAAAACGTCGGGGAGAAGAGACATTACTAACAGAATTACCCTTCGGTTCACCTTTAGGTGCCGTTGGGCTAGACACTTTAACAGGGTTAGTTATGTCTGAAACAGAAGGTGCATTAGGTAAAGGGTTAGAATGAGCTGGTCTGGACTGGCTGTGGGTATAAGGTTTGCTACTCTGTGGGGTATAATTATTTTTATTGGGCCTTTTGCCCGCCAATTGGTAGTTTTCTGCCAACTTGGCCAAATCCCCTATTTTAGAATTTAACTCTATCCTTCCTCTAATATACTGTGATATGTTCTCTGGCATAACATCTATAAAATGCTCCATTAAAATTAAGTTCCTGAGAGCCTCGTATGTTTCGGCTTTCGCCGAGCGAATCCATCTATCAAATAATCGAATTTGATCATTCACAAATTCAGTGAGCGGTTGGTTGTGAGTAGGCCTAAGGTTACGATAAACTTGGCGGTGAGCTTCAGGAGTAATTTCATATGCCCGCAAAATACATTCCCTGACTTTATCATATTCGAAACACTCGTCGTCAGGCATGTTTATAAAAATATCTTGTGCTTTACCCCTAAGTCTTCCCTGTAGGATTTTCACCCACTCTTCCTTTGGCCAGTTCATGGACGTGGCCACTCTCTGAAAATGGTTGAAAAACCTTTCAGGGTCAGACTCGGAAAATTCAGGCAAATTATGCTTTTTCTCATAATGCCTGGGGTTTGAATCCCCGGCAGGTGGAGTTCCAGTGGCATTCGCTCTAATTCTAGCCTCCTCGGTTTTGAGTTTTTGCTCCTCTAATTTTATTTTTGCTAACTCTAAAGCTAATTCACTTTCCCTATGAGTTGCACTTTCTGCTTGGCTAGGCTGGCATAAAGGTGTATCACTTGCCAATAGTTGTTCATCAATACAATGTTCTAATATTTCATTTACCAAAGTCCACTTTTTATCTGCGACATTTAATTCTAGGCCAAATTCCTGGCCTAACAATACTAAATTAGACTTTTTAAGTTTCTTTATCTCTACCACTGAAGGCTCCCTTGCCAGTTTCTGCATTTCAGAAGACATCACTAATAATTTTAGCTCCCAGCCAAAGAAAAAATTAAAAAATAAAAATTGGAAAAAAACAAAAATTTGCACGGCCCCTAACACAAGGCCACACTAACCTTAATCGTGAAGGGATCCAGCTGGGTGTCCAGTCAGTGCAAGAATGTCCTTTGCTAGATGAGCTGGACCCTAGGCTAGCACACAACCGTTCTGCGGAAATAAAAAATTTTAATTTTGGCACTCAAGAATCTAATTTTTTACACTTATAATGTTCCTCCCGGACTGGCCAACCACTTGTTACAACTGATATGAGTGGGGCTTCTATGGGGTACTGGTACTATTAAGGGGTATAGGTAGTTAGAAGACAGGAGTATCATATATGGGAGAGCTAAAAGGCCCGGCCCCCAAAATAAACTATCCACAGTAGTAATAAATTGCTACAAGACCAAATATGTTCGTCTAAGGGTTGATCACTGCGCTCCCACCTTGGAAGAAGAGATACTCTGTAATTCATGTACTTATTTATTAACCCGTTAACAACCCCCCATATACACTCACACCAATAACAATAATAATAATAACTTTACCACACTATCTTACGTTAAAAGCCTTGGTCCACGTAGGCAGGATACAAGGTTTACACTAATAACAAGCTAGGGTAAAGTACTACTGGATAAGCACTGAAGCTGGATGCAGCTTAGGGTAGTGAAACCACGTGGGACCCTAATACAAAACACAACACTTAGGGGTACCCAAACACTGGCAAAATACTATCCCCAGGTCTCACCAATCGTTACTACCAGAGTAGGCACACTCACTAATGCCCTGTACTTAGCTTAAGGATACAGGAACTTCAGGTAAGGGAAATAAGTAAGAGGAGAAGGAAGGAGAGTAGGGATACAGCCACAGAGTAGGTCTTAACCTCACGCCACCAGCCAAGAGAAGACCGAGCTAGCCACCAGCTGCCTCCCTCATGTTGTGGTGCCGGGAGGAGCCTAATTGATCGTGCAGCTAAGCACATTAAAGATCTTCCCCTATGAAACGTATTGTTACTTTATGAATGATTAGAAAGTATTAGTAAGCAAAGTTGGTGCCTATGTTATTATTTAATAATCAACCCCCAGCTCAGTCTTTAAATGCTCTTTGAGAAACAATAATAGTCTTACGTCTGGCAGGGAAGATACAAACAATTGACATTCTAGATGCCCAACTGTACTACCAGCTATAAAATTGCCTAAGTTTAATAGCTCAATTTTGACCTCTGGTTTCCACTGGAGAACCCAGGGTCGTAACAGCAGTAGGGTTTTCAGGCTCTCAGAGGTCAATATTAAAGTCCCCTGCGATAATTAGGTGGTTTTTGTTCAGTCTGTTATCTAGTATTAGATTTCTATGGTTAGAGTTGAATTCAGACACATCAGTGTTAGGAATTCTATAGACTGCTCCCACAGTCAGGACAGACTCAGCACCCTTGACTCTGAAACTGGCGAAGATATACTCCCCACAGTAGTCCCTAGTTCTAATTACTTTTAAGCATGTTAGTTCTTGGTGGTAGTAAAGAGCAGTACCACCACCTCTCTGAATTGGTCGACAGTTGTGAATTACTGAGTAGTTAACCAGGTTAAAGAGTTGAGTAGTATCCTCCTTTAACCACGTTTCAGTAAGTATAATAAAAGAGAATTTGTTGTCAATAGTTTCAATCAAGGCACTAACATTATCGAAGTGTTTGCTTAGAGATCTTATATTCAAGTTAATTACAGAGATATTGTGATTATGTGTTAATACATTGTTACATCATGTGCTGTAAAATATCTGCAATTTTGAGCATTAAAGTGATGATTGTCATAGATAGTGGATAAGAGGTTTAGTTCTGGGTCTATACTTGTCTGCATAAGAAGGCTGGAAGGCAAGAATGGCAATTACAAAATAAAATTTTGATATAAAAGGGGGGAAATAATAAAAATGTACACAAGACTATACAAGTCAAAAACAAAATGAACAAAAAAAAGAAAAATGAGGTAGATTGCTTACAAGTACTCTCAGGTACACTGTAAGTAATAATTTGCATTTTGAGACACAGGCAAAGCCAGGGGTACAATGGAGTAAGGGTGTATGGCGAGGCTAGGCAACCTAGGTAATAAATGAAAGCAAAGAAAAAAGCTGAATAATAAACATAGGCAAATTTAATCTAATGATTATTAACTATAAATAGTTTAGCTATGATCCTATGATTAATAAGAACTAAAGAAAATATTAATGCACTCAATTAATTAAGTCCAATAAATGACTAATAAAAATTAAATTAAAATTTTATTGAAAAAAGTGTAACAAAGAGACTTTGGATACCTAGCTCACACTAGGTGACAAGTTATGTCACTGGATATCATCATACCTATCATCATACAATATGTCGCATATTTCCACCTCAGAGAGTCGTTTTCCATGACCGCGGCTGACTGTGGAGTGGGAGCTCGTGGACAATGCGTCAGACATGGTTGCTTCCTTGAAACTGAGGCTCCCACGGCCCTTTGGCATGCTGAGTTTTTTTTCGAAATGGCGGACGATCACTGGGGCCCCTCAGGCATCCATTTTGTACTCATGTCACCGCACGCCAGTTTTGAATGGTACGCTATACCGATAAGATCCCTGGGGCTCGTTGCGCACCACCCTTCGAGCACCTACAGGCGTGTTGCACAGTGCAGTGGCTAATGAAATGGGTCTGTAACTGCCAGGCTTTTTCGGCTTCTGTGGCCCAGTTGTGGGAATTGATCTCGGCAAGATAGCTTCAGAGCCACTGGGGTTTTACCAGAAAAAGGAGTTTCCTTACATTCAACACTTGCTTTTTGATGACCAAACCAGTTCATCAGAAGATTGAGGAACAATGACGTTTTGGTCTGTCCTGGACCATTATCAAGTTGAATCATCAAGTCTCACATATGACTTGATAATGGTCTAGGACGGACAGAAACGTCGTCATTTTCCATCTTCTGATGTGTAGTTTGGCATCATATTTTCAGCCACATTATTGTGACTCTTCTTAACACTGGCCTTTTTTTTATTGTTGCTGCCACATACTTTATTGTCACTCATCCTGTGAATGGTAGTGCAAAAGGATTACAGAGGAAACAAAAGGTATTAACCAGACCTTATTAATATTAGCTTTTACAATTTCTCAGCTATGATTATAAAATATTATACATTAGTGGCAAGTCATTTTGTTTATACCTAATTACATCATAGAAGTGGGTATGGATTTGATACACTTAAGCCCAAGTGTTATCTCTATACATAGGTGTGTATAATTTAAGATATAACACAGAAAAGTGTTTGACAGTTTGCCTTACTATGCTGTAGCTCTATGTTGTTCAAATATATTGAACAGTGACCAATAAATAAAATAAAATAAAATAAAAATCAAAGATTAAATTACAACTACAGGTATCTGGTTTTATAATTTCTTTAAAAGTTACTGTATATCTATACTGTACAGGAGTTTTAATACAAGGTAAGATTAAGAATGTTGTCCTAATTGAACTAGAACATATAGCTAGGCTAACTGATGTTGAATTCAGTGTACTTCCTGCAACTGAGGAAGTAAATAGCTGTAAAATATCAAGGTACATGATTGATACGCTTGATAATAGCTCAGGCACGCATCTCTGAGCAAGCAGCATTACTGATTTGCAGCAAAGCTGACGGCGAGAGGAGGGGCTGAGCTTCTACATGGGACGGGTATGACGAAGATCTGGGTGGAGGGGGAGGCCTGGCGACTGAACGAACTGTTCCATTGTGGGGTGGGCGAGTATTAGCTACATCGTGCCCTGGGCTCAACCCACTCCCTGCACTCCCTTGGCCACTCTGACAGCAGCTACTGTAGTCTGGGGGCCATTCATGCTGTGGCTCACCATCACATGAAGTGGCCAGACTGCTGCGCAGTGTTGAGGACGAGCGCAGTGTGCCACAGTGTGAAGGAGATGATGGCTTACCAAAGTTATCGCCAGTGTTACGAAGCTGAACACCATTCCCAGTCTCATTCATGCTACTTTCATGGTTAATGGGGCCTCCTGGTTTGCTGTGGGCATGGCGATAAGTGTCTCGTCGATAGTAAACGGCTGCAAAAACAATTAAGTTCAGTACAAGTAATGAGCAGCCTATAGCCACAGTGAGGCTCAGGGCAGTAGTGTAAGGAAAATGTCCCTGCTGCTGCTGCTGCTGTTGCTGCTGGCCTCGTAATACATCTTCCATGAGACCAGCTACATTACTAGAGTTGGCCAACACCAGCACTGTGGGTGGTTGAGTGTTGTGTTTGGCGGTTGTAATTGTTGCTGGACTACTGGGTGCCACAGTAGTGAATGGTGGCAGTAAGTTGCTCGACAAATTGCTTGGTCGAGTTGGTCCAGAGTAGGAGTCAGATTTTTCATAGTCAGGAAATTTATGGAAGGCAGAGTCAAGTCCGTAGAGAGAACCAACTTTCTCCAGACCTGGCACCAGCCAGGACCACAGAGCCACCCGCCCGGCACGGTAATGATCACGCACACGACCACGACTACCTGCACAACAGATAAAAGTAAGATAGAGATTATTATATTTAAATGGTAAATGGCATCTTATTTTAGTATGTTTTAGTTCATTGCAATATATTTTATCAGGACCACTAAGAGTGAAATAAAAAATAAATCTCGGGAAGAACAATTGAATTGAATCCAAAATTAAGTTTTGCATTTCTATTACCCAGAATTAAATGAAAAAAGTTAGTCATAAACATATTACCTTACAATGATTAACAACCAGAATACAGGTACCATTAAACTAATATACCAGGTAATATGAAGAGGTATATTGTTGCAAAATTTATATCAACATATACCTACAGTATAAATTGACAGAGGTGATTACACTGGTGAAAATATGTCTTAAGTACCAATATTGGGGAAGTGGGTAGTACAAGATGCAGTGTGAGTTTGAAGCACTGAGTAGGAAACTATGAGGATGAAATTAGGTACTTTGTGGTTTTGCTCTTGAATAAGGCATAGGTTTGATTTTTTTTGAATTCTTTGGGGAGTGATTTCTATAGACTGGGTCCTTTCTTTATTTATTTATTTATTTATATATACAAAAGTTCTTACATTCTTGTACAGCCACTAGCACGCATAGCATTTCGGGCAAGTCCTTAATCCTAATTTTCCCCGGAATAGGACCAGTCTATTTCCATACATTTAATTATCTTTTAATAACCAATTAAGTACCCAATTATCTGTTGGGTAAACAGTGGCTACAGTTAATGATTGGCGTCCAGTAAATCCTCCCTAGCCAGGATACGAACCCAGGCCAAAGCCCTCAAGCCCTCAAAACACCAAGCCAGTGTGTTACCACTTTGCCAAGGGGACTTTTATTTGCATGGAGTGTTTACACAGATTTAGTTTGACTCTGGGGATATCAAGGAGATATTTATTTCTGGTGTGATGCTCATGGGTTTTATTACATCTATCAAGGAAAAGTTTCAGATCAAGATTAGCATTTAGGAACAAGGTTTTGTACATGTAAATAGCACATGAGAATGTGTGGAGTGAGTGTATGATTAGCATGTTAAGGGACTTAAACAGCTTCCTAAGACCTCTCCTATTTCTTATATACATCAATGATTTGCCAATTGGCGCTAACATTCTTAAACCTATACTATTTGCTGACGATACTATTTTCATCTACTCGTACCCTAACCCACACACACTAAATAATATTGTTAATAACGAATTAAAACAAGTTCATTCATGGATGTCAACCGACAAACTCACATTAAACATGGAAAAGTCATACTACATTTTATTTGGAAGAAAATCATCAAATGAAATTCAACTTCAGATAAACAATGTTAACATCAGCAATAAAAATGATGGAAAGTTCCTTTCCATTTTGCCCGAAACGCTGTGCATAATAGTGGCTTTAAGCATAGTATGTACAGTACTAGCTCTATCTAGAAATCTAACATTATGTTAGTAACTCATTTGAATGTATGTACTTTTACCTGAATGAACATTATTATTATTATTATTATTATTATTATTATTATTATTATTATTATTATTATTTCTTAGCCTATACATAAACAAGCGACTCAACTTTTTTTATTTTTTGTTTTTTTATTTATTTATTTACATATACAAGAGTTTTTGCATTCTTGTACAGCCACCAGCACCCATAGCATTTCAGACAAGTCCTTAATCCTAATTTTCCTCAGAATATGACTCACCGAATCGTTTAACAACCAGGTACCCCGTTCACTGCTGGGTGAACAGAGGCAAAGACTGGCGAAAAGTAAATCCTCTGCCAGCCAGGATATGAACCCAGACCAAAGCGCTTGCGAAGCACTGAGTGAGTGTTTTATCACTACACCACAGGGACTACTATGAACTTCTGCACCCACATACAACACATAACCAAAAAGTCTAATAAAAAAACAGCGTTGAATGTAATGAAACGCCATTTTCTGGGTGAGCCCCGGAGGCTTCCTGGAGCTATCAGGGTGATATTACCTATACTCTATTAGTCTGGGGCTTCAGTTGAAGGAGTTCTGCCTACTAGCAGCACTGTGTGTCTCAACTCGAAGACGAGACAAATGGCTGCAACCGACGGCCCAGGGTCACCCAAGAACGACTTGGACCCGAAATATTCACCAAATAACGGGCGGCCAGGACTCTGTTTGAGCTCCAAAACCCCTGTGCCCGAATTTCAGCCAAGGACATGTTCCCGAACGCAGCAGCAAGAGCAGCATTCTTACGAATATCATAGGCACGAGGGTAGCCTGCAGGCTGATTAAAATTAATAACCTCTGCATATAACCTGAGAGACACGAGCCCTGGAACAGAGAACGAGGGAAATCAGATCTACCCCAAAGAAACCGAGGCGTGCAAATAACGGCGAAGAACCTCAACTGAGCACAACCCCAGCCGAACCAAGTAAGTATCAATGACCCACAGACCCCTCCAGAAGCCAGCCGTCTCGCTCTTTGCCAGAAAAAGAGACAGCTGCAAACGAACAAACAGCCCACCAGGACCATAGGAGCCGAAACCCCCTACGCTTGAGGAGAGCATGAAGCTCACCCACCTGACCCCTAGAGGCTAAAGCGGACAGAAAAAAAAATCAGAAAGCAGTCTTGGACCGAAGGGGCCACCACAAAGTGAGAGAAAGAGAGACAGGAGAGCACCCGGGCCAGGGAGCAGGATGGCTCAGGCAGTGCGTGAGCAAGCCGGAGGTGAAACAAAGCACGAGAAAGCTTACTGAACAGAGCAGAAGTGACATCCACCCCGAACGCAAGCTGGAGAGGCTTCACCAGTGCCGTATGATAAGAGACGATAGTATTCAGCATAAGATGACAGTCCTGGAAAAGCCAAGAAAGAAAAGACAAAAAACCCAAACAGAGACAGAAGACAACCTACGAAGAGACGAAGAGACAATCTTCGTCTCTGAGACAAAGACCGCAGGTGAGACATCATTATCGAAGCCACCTGATCAACATACAAGTAGGGATACACCCACATGAAAAAGACCAGACACGAAGAGTGGAGGAGTAGACCGAACCAACCAGGTACCAGACTGGCCCGATCTGCTGGAAGAGGCGGAGCCACAGAAAACGTAATGGGTTTGTCACGGAGCAAGCAGCGACTAAAACCTAGGCTAGGCCGGCCACCAAGGGGCCAATAGGAGAACCCTCCCGTCGATAGGACTCCAAGCGAGCCAAAACCTGAAGTAACAGCTGGACCAGTAGGAAGAGGTACAGGTAACCCCACACTGACCAGTCCTGCAAAAAAGTGTCCACCGTGAAGGCTCTGCAGTTGGGGAACACATATATCGGGAGACGCTTGGACCATGCTGAAGCAAAGAGGTCCACTTCTGGGGGCCCGTACATCCAGCAGAGCAAACTGAAGGAGTCGGCATCGACCGTCCATTCCGTGGACAGGGGAATGAACCGAGACAGGCTGTCCACCAGGAAGATGGACATGGGCCTGATGTGAACCGCACGGAGAACTAAATCCTGAGAAACCAGCAGACGAACCACTTGAAGTGACTAGCCTCAAAGAGCCAAGGACTGAAGAGACCCCCACGGTTCAGACAATGAACCACCGAGGAACAGTCTGAATGGAGATGGATCGTTGAGTCCTGAGCAACCCGAACCTGCCGAACCCGCAAAAAGAAAAGAAAAACCTTGCAAAAGCACAACAACAAAGGAAAAGAAAACACGGCTGCTGCTAGGGAGGCGAGCTGTGCAGCACCTTGTGCCCCAACCAGCAACAACATCACTCTCTACCCAGAGCCAAAGGCCACGAAAACCCGAGCTGGCTGCAAGGGCGGGGTCCATGCCAAACAGCAGTAACCCCTACGGAAGTGAGATCCCAAAGGCCCCCAGGGAAGAGAATATTAGATTCCAAGGGTAGTATTTACAGGGTGCTTAGGGAAGGTACCCCTAAGCGTATGCAGCCCCAGTACACTAATTTCTCCTGGCCACCGCATCACCACAGCAGGCAACACTACAAGGACACAAAATTCTGGCAGGAAACTGAGGCTAGAGCCGACAACCGCCCCAGAAGGCTTCAGTCTACGAACTGGAGTGTGGGCAGCCGGTGCGGGGGTCCGGGACTCTGACCCCAATTTGAGCCCTCTGACTAGGGCTCTACTGAACCTACCTCTGACCTTGTGGGTTCAATAGAACTCCAGGTTGCAATCTTTATACCATGTCGTGGTTTAATCGCTAGAAGTGTGTGTGTTGGAACATCCATCGCATAGGTTTGAACCCTCATCACTGTTCCTATGGATTTTCTCATTGATGCAGTCACGTTAGTGTGATTACTCTCTGTGTATTGAAAGAGGAGTGTCAGAGGTAGAACAAGTCGTAGATATCAAAGCCAGAGTGCATGAGGGGGATAGTGTGAAAATCCTGTTTCCGGCTTCAGTAGAAGCCTCAGCCTCATATTTTATCAGTGATTATACCAGAGGCAAGGGAAAATGTTATGTTAGTCCATAGGTAGTCCAGGGTTGTAGCAGATGTTAGAGTACTGTGGAACCTCGGTTTACGACTGCCCTAGAAGACGAATTTTTTGGAACATATCAAAGTTGTCATTAAATTTGAATTGGTACAGGACGGTTTACTTGGAAGACGACATCTGTTCATACATATTTGGTGGAACGAGTGCGTGGTTCTGGGGGTGTGGGGCGAGGCACTGTTAGTTTGTTTACAAGTCTATCCTGCGCAGTAACAATCGATTTTGAATTCTATGTTAAGAATTTCATTATTTTTCTGCTTTTTTGTTTTCTGAACAGTAAAGTTCTTATTATATATTACGCCAAGGGACTGGATGGATGGATGGGGAGGGAACTGGATGGATGGATGGCAGGGGGAACTAGATAGATGGATAGATAGGGTGTGGATGGATGGACAGTGGAGGGGGACTGGATGGATGGTGGGGGAACTGGATGGATGGTTAGGGGACTGGATGGTGGATGGGAACTGGATGGATGGTGAGGGGACTGGATAAATGGATGGTGAGGGGGTCTGAATGGATGGGTGGTGGATGGGGACTGGATGGATGGATGGTGGATGAGGACTGGATGGATGGATGGTGAGGGGACTGGATAAATGGATGGTGAGGGGGTCTGAATGGATGGGTGGTGGATGGGGACTGGATGGATGGATGGTGGATGAGGACTGGATGGATGGATGGTGAGGGGACTGGATGGATGGGGGGCACTGGATGGATGGCTGGACTGTGGGGTGAATTTACGGATGGTGGAGGAGAGACTGGATGGATGGTAGGGAGAACCTCCGTCCCCCCACACCGCCCCCTCCCTACTACCCTCATCCCCCACACCAGACCCCCCCCCCCCCACACCAGACCACCCCCCAGCTGTACCCTCCCAGCCACATCTGGACGGTATAAATACAGACTTCGTTGCTACCAGCATGAGGCAGACTGCATGACGTTAAGCTCTTGTTGTTTACTGACTGTGGAAGTCTGTTTGGCTGTAAATGGCTGAATGACTGCAAATGCCTGAAGGAGTAAATGCCTAACCGGTTTCTACCACAACTGTGAATGCTTGACTGCCTTTGGTTATGAACAAATCCACAAGGGCCGTGACGAGGATTCGAACCTGCGTCCGGGAGCATCCCGGACGCAGGTGTGATCTCTGAGTGTGATGATGTAAGGGTGAAGAGGGAGAACGGCCTATTGACAAACCTCGGGTGCAGGGGGGGGGGGGGTGTAAAAGCCTGGTTTGTGCCTCGGAGAGGCTACGGGATCCAGTAAATTCAGTAGAACTTCGGTTTCAACCCTTTTACCCTGTCGTAGCTCAAACGATTAAGGCAGTGTCTGGGATGCTCCTGGACGCAGGTTCGAATCCTCGTCACGGCTCTTGTGGATTTGTTCATTTGATGCACCACGTTAGTGTGATCTCTTTGGTTATGTGCCTTTGGTTATGATTGCCTGTGACTGGTCTTGACTGTGAATGCTTGACTCACTTGTGACTAAGTGATTGGTTCTGACTGGATGCCACATAACAGAGGCAGTGAAATGTTTGAAAGGAAAATCTGAACCAGTGATGCAGATACAAAAGTGTTTAAGGCGAACAATGGACGGTCTCACCACAATCTCCTCCCTCCTCACCCTCCCCTAACACCAATACCGCTCCTCCCTCCCTCCTGGCCGTCTTCCATATGCCAAGAGTCATCAGTAAAGGTAAAGTGCAGTTAAATGTTCACTTATTTTATTTATGGTTTATATTTATAACTGTTTTCTTTATGAAAAATATGAGTAGTATTCTGTATAAAATGTATTTTTAAGTTAATATTTTTGGGGGTGTGGAACGGATTAATTCAATTTACATTTTTTCTTAAGGGAAAATTTGTTTTGGTTGACGATATGTCTCTGGGAACGGATTACGATTGTAAACGAAGGTACAACTGTAATTTGTGTGGGCTTGGTGATTGTGGGGATTAGCATACAGGAGAAGGTCATGCTTCTCATGAAGGTCAGAAATCATCGATAGATACAGCGATAGCAGGCGGCTTGACGTCTGCGAGGCACTACACATCAAGAAGTCAACACCAGCAAATTAATGCACAACTATATTCTACCCACTTCAAGACTCTGCTCCAATATAGAAGCATCAAGAAATGTGGACCAATAGGCTTTCTACAATCACTTCCATTTCAATACCCATTGTCTCGTGTTTTGTCTTGTGTTGATGAAATTAATACCCTATTAAATACCACCTCATCCCATCCACCTCACTCAAATGTAGATATAAACAAATCGGAGATATGTAAGTTCTATTCAGTTGTGTATGTGTAAAGTCTTTGAAAATGTAATAAGTTTTACGAAACGCGCTCAAGTGTCGCGTCAGACTAGAAATAAAAATGAATTTTGGAGAATTGATTTTTGAATTACCTCCAACAGTGAAAAGAAATGTACGAAAGATTGAGAAAATTCGTGTTAGAATTATTAATCTTACTTTATATATATATATATATATATATATATATATATATATATATATATATATATATATATATATATATAAAGAGTTTTTACATTCTTGTAAAGCCACTAGTACGCGTAGCGTTTCGGGCAAGGTCCTTAACCCTAATTTCCCCAGAATACGACCCCGCCGAATCGTTTAACAACCAGGTACCCATTCACTGCTGGCTGAACGCTACAGTTAAGGATTGGCGACCAGTCAATCCTCCCCGGCCAGGATTCGAACCCAAGGCAAGGTGCTTGCGAAACGCCAGGCGAGTGTCTTACCACTGCGCCACGGAGACTGATATATATATATATATATATATATATATATATATATATATATATATATATATATATATATATATATATATATATATATATATATATATATATATATATATATATATATATATATATATATATATATATATATATATATATATATATATATATATATATATATATATATATATATATATATATATATATATACATATATATATATATATATATATATATATATATATATATATATATATATATATATATATATATATATATATATATATATATATATATATATACATATATATATATATATATATATATATACATATATATACATATATATATATATATATATATATGTATATATATACATATATATACATATATATATATATATATATATATATATATATATATATATATATATATATATACATATATATACATATATATATACATATATATATATATATATATATATATATATATATATATATATATATATATATATATATATATCGCCTCAGTGTGGCGATACAGAGGGGAAATGCGCACTGCATCCAGGGTTCCTGCCCGCCATCTGAGGAGCTGGAGGAACTCGACAACCTATGATAACCATCTTTGTAACCCATATGTAACTCCTTTTTTGTAACAAAGTTCAAATAAAGTAAATATATATGTGGACATACAAAAGAATGGGGGTGGTAGGAGAAGATAATATTGGTGTTCAGTGAGAAACCACAAGGTCTCATCTGAATACTTTTTATTTTCTTCTCCGAGGCTATGGGTCCCCACATTGGCACCAGAGGTGGTACCCTCACAAATTTATATATATATAATAATATATATATATATATATATATATATATATATATATATATATATATATATATATATATATATATATATTAAATATGACCGAAAAAGTAAGATTAATAATTCTAACACGAATTTTCTCAATCTTTCTTATATTTCTTTTCACTGTTGATGGTAACTGAAAAATCAATTCTCCAAAATTCATTTTTATTTCTAGTCTGACGCGACACTTGAACGCGTTTCGTAATAACTTATTACATTTTCAAAGACTTTAGTTTACACACACACACACAACTATAACTAAACAGAGTTTAAACAGCTTCGATTTTATACCTGCATTTGGGTGAGGTGATATGTTACAACAGTTTTGGATGAGGTGAAAACAAACTTTCAACACAAGACAGAACACGAAACAATGGGTATAATATTTTGTAAGTTAAAGGGAAGAATGGAAGTAACTGCAAAGGGCCTATTGGCCCATATTTCTTGATGCTTCTATATTGGTGTGGAGTCTTGAAGTGGGTAGAATATAGTTTTGCATTAATTGGCTGTTGA